CTGCCGGCTGGGAGAGCAGCCTCAGGCAGAAGCCTCCAGCTCGTATGATCTTCGAGGCAGGACTGAATCTCCATGAGACGAAACTTAAAGAAGAGAATGACCTGGAGTCTCTGGCTCCCATTCAGTGCTCTAAGAGGAGAATAACCATGTCTTGGTTATTGGACTGAAGAATTTATGGGTTTAAAGGTAGAGGAGGCCTGGGATTATTTTAAATTAAAGGCAGATCGGAGCGATCCCAAGAAAGGGGAAAAATTCATGGAGGAGTTGTGCCAAGTGGATGAGAAGCATCTAGAGAGGTAATTAAGAAAAAGGAAAGCAAAGGGAGTGGAAGAAGGGAGGGATCAGAAGGAAAGCTACCTTATTGAGGTTAGAATATGTAGGGATAAAGTGAGACAGGCAAAAGTCAAGTAGAGTTGGCCTTGCAAAGGGAATTAAAACCAATAGTAAAGGTTCTATAGTCATATAAATAGGAAGAAAACAAAGAAAGAAGAAGTGGGACCTAAAAACTGAGGATGGAGTGGAGGTCAAGGATAATCTAGGCAGCCCAATATCTAAACAAATACTTTGCCTCAGTCTTTAATAAGACTAAAGAGGATCTTAGGGATAATGTACTGATAAATGGGAATGAGGATATGGAGGTAGACATCACCATATCTGAGGTAGAAGCGAAACTCAAACAGCTAATGGGATAAATCGGGGCCCAGATAATCTTCATCCAAGAATATTAAAAGAATTGCAAAGAAATTGCAAGCCCATTAGCAAGAATTTTTAATGAATCTGTAAACTCCGGGGTTGTACGTATGATTGGAGAATTGCTAACATAGTTCCTATTTTTAAGAAAGGGAAAAAAAGTGATCCAAGTAATTATAGGCCTGTTAGTTTGACATCTGTAGTATGCAAGGTCTTGGAAAAAATTTTGAAGGAGAAGGTAGTTAAGGACATTGAAGTCAATGGTAAATGGGACAAAATACAACATGGTTTTACAAAAGGTAGATCGTCAAACCAACCTGATCTCCTTCTTTGAGAGAGTAACAGATCTTTTAGATAAAGGAAACGAGGGATCTAATTTACTTAGATTTTAGTAAGGGTTTGATACTGTGCACATGGGGAATTATTAGTTAAATTGGATAAGATGAGCATCAATAGGAAAATTGAAAGGTGGATAGGGAATTGGTTAAAGGGGAGACTACAACGGTCCTACTGAAAGGTGAACTGTCAAGTTGGAGGGAGGTTACCAGTGGAGTTCCTCAAGGATCAGTTTTGGGACCAATCTTATTTAATCTTTTTATTACTGACCTGGGCACAAAAGTGGGAGTGTGCTAATAAAGTTTGCAGATGATAAAAGCTGGGAGGTATTGCTAATTTAGAGAAGGACAGGGATACCCTACAGGAGGATCTGGATGACCTTGTAAACTGGAGTAATAGGAATAGGATGAAATTTAATAGTGAGAAGTGTAAGGTCATGCATTTAGGGATTAATAACAAGAAATTTAGTTATAAGCTAGGGACACATCAACTAGAAGTAACGGAGGAGGAAAAGGACCTTGGAGTATTGGTTGATCATAGGATGACTATGAGCTGCCAATGTGATATGGTGTGAAAAAGCAATGTCATCTTGGGATGCATCAGGAGAGGTATTTCCAGTAGGGATAAGGAGGTTTTAGTACCGTTATATAAGGCACTGGTGAGACCTCACCTGGAATACTGTGTGCAGTTCTGGTCTCCCATGTTTAAGAAGGATGAATTCAAACTGGAACAGGTACAGAGAAGGGCTACTGGGATGATCCGAGGAATGGAAAACTTGTCTTATGAAAGGAGACTCAGGGAGCTTGGCTTGTTTAGCCTAACTAAAAGAAGGTTGAGGGGAGATATGATTGTCTCTATAAATATATCAGAGGGGTAAATATCAGAGAGGGAGAGGAATTATTTAAACTCAGTACAATGTGGACACAAGAACAAATGGATATAAACTGGCCACTAGGAAATTTAGATTAGAAATTAGACGAAGGTTTCTAACATCAGAGGAGTGAAGTTTTGGAATAGCTTCCGAGGGAAGTAGTGGGGGCAAAAGATCTATCTTGCTTTAAGATTAAACTCGATAAGTTTATGGAGGAGATGGTATGATGGGATAACATGGTTTTGGTAATTAAATGTTCATGGTAAATAGGCCCAATGGCCTGTGATGGGTTTTAGATGGGGTAAGATCCAAGTTACCCGGGAAAGAATTTTCTGTAGTATCTGGCTGATGAATCTTGCCCATATGCTCAGGGTTTAGTGATCGCATATTTGGGGTCGGGAAGGAATTTTCCTCCAGGGTAGATTGGAAGGCCCTGGAGGTTTTTCGCCTTCCTCTGTAGCATGGGGCACGGTCACTTGCTGGAGGATTCTCTGCTCCTTGAGGTCTTCAAACTACAATTTGAGGACTTCAATAGCACAGATATAGGTGTGAGGTCTTTTTTAGGAGTGGTGGGTGAAATTCTGTGGCCTGCATTGTGCAGGAGGTCAGACTAGATGATCATAATGGTCCCTTCTGGCCTAAATATCTATGAATCTATGAATCTATGTCTCGCCAGGCACCCCTGATTGACCTCACCGAGGTCTGCCAGGAGCACCCAGGAGACATACAATGGCTATCCATCCTACTGCACTGTCTGCCGCAAAGGCAAGTAGCTGCTGTTGTGTAGCAATGCAGTACCACGTCTGCCAGCAGCACCCAGGAGACGTACGGTGACGGTGAGCTGAGTGGGCTCCATGCTTGCCGTGGTATGCTGTCTGCACGGTTAACCCAGGAAAAAAGGTGCAAAACGATTGTCTGCCATTGCTTTCACGGGGGGGGGGGGGGGCTGACAACATGTACCCGAAACCACCTGCGACAATGTTTTTGCCTCATCAGGCATTGGGAGCTCAACCCAGAATTCCAATGGGCAGCAGAGACTGCGGGAACTGCGGGATAGCTACCCACAGTGCACCGCTCTGTAAGTCGATGCTAGCCACGGTAGTGAGGATGCACTCCGCCAACTTAATGCGCTTAGAGTGGACATACGCAATCGACTGTATAAAATCGGTTTCTAAAAATCAACTTCTATAAAAATGACCTAATTTCATCATGTATTGAATGCAGAAATGTAATAGTAATGTATTGAACTCACTCAGATCAAACCATTAAAGTTTGAAGAAATGAGACAGCCCCGACACATGCTTTGTTTTGAGATTAGATGGGAAAAAGAACCCAGTGCTAGACACCAGAATATACTGAATATGAGACAAAAAAGGCTTTAGAGGGCTGGTCCAATAGCTCTTTGAGTTTGACTCCCAGGCCTGATCTTCCATTCCCTGGGCTGGCAAGGGCTATGTATGCTACAAAGGCAGCACTGGTCAGTGCCTGGCAGCAGAAGCACATCACATTAGTCTGTGATTGAGGAAGGATCAGTCCTGAAGGGCTCCAAACATAACCCCACTCAGCCCTTGTTGGCCAAGGAAGGTAGCTGAGGGCCCTGAGGAAAGAAAGCTCTGTCACTGACCTCTGGGGTGGAGGGAAAATGTTTCCCCAGTAAAACAACATTTAAAATGCCACAGCAACTTTGTCCTGCTCACATGAAGATGCCCAAGGGAAAAAGTTCCCAGAGAGTAGCATTGTACCAATACTTGGCCATCCCATGCCAGATCCAGTTCCCCTGAAGTCAAAGACAAGTCACCAATTGAGTTCAATTGTGCAGTACCAAATTCATAGTGAGGAGTGCATTAAACCTCCCGGTACAAACACTGCTTTCCAAAAGCTACTTCCCTAGATGGCCCAAAATACATTTTGGTGGGAAAGGATGGGTGTAAAGTGACAACATTCCCTGGTCTCAATGCAACTCCTTCATTTGCAAACCCTGAAATTGGTGCAGCATTAAGTGAACTCGACCAGGTCAAATTATCTATTGAGCTTGGAGTGCTAATGCAGAAAATACAATTGCTAGTAGGGAAGATTTTCAAAAGTGCCTAAGGGAATTAGGCATACAAGTCCCATTGGCTTTCAGTAGGACTTGTGCACCTAAATACCTTAGCCACTTTTGAAAGTCTTCCCCTTATTTTTCTGATTATTTTCTGTATTGTCTGTTTCTGCTATTAGTTCAGTTATGATCCCATATTTGCAATAAACTAAAAAGAAACCCCAAGAAATTTAATGACATACACTTCTGCAATCACCTGTCTTAAAGATCCACATATACGAGTTAATAACCTTGCAGAAAAAAAGACACACAAAAAGGACAATATCTAATTAAATTGCATTCATTTAGCTAGATTAGTAACAAAGCTGGCTATTAATTATATTTGTTATTTTTTGTGCAAAAAAAGAAGAAACAATGTTTTGAGATTAGGGTGACTTTAAGAAGCAGTTTAGAGCTTTTGGTGTCCTGCAACTTGAAAACGGCTTTAGCATATATAACTGCACGGTGTTTTGTGGGATCATAAAAGAAAAACAGGTAAAGAAGAGAGTTAACTGTATGTCTGTGTATGTGAGAGCAACACACATAAAAATAAAGCACATTTGCACTTGTCAATAACTAGAAACTGTTATAAAGCAGCTTTCCCCTCATCTGAGTCCTCAGCAGTCCATTCAGAACAGCAGCAAATAGTCCTGGCTGTATAATTTCAGACCTGATTCAAATTTTATGACGGTTATTTTATTGCCAAGAACACGTAATCTTTGCATTTGGGGCCTCTCTGGAAACCATGCAATCCATAACCAACTATTAAAGTGAGCTAGCTACTGTACATTCTTAAACTGTAGGCAGCTTCATCTTGCTTTCTGACAGTATTAGAATTAACCAGAACCTCTGTGGATAACTGATGCGGATTTTATGAGTCTGCTCTCTTTCTTTGGCTACAACAGAAACATACATGAATTACAGTTGAAAAGAAGAGAGGGGAAAAAGGAAAATCAGGGATTACAGGGATTTTTTGTCTTCTTTTTTTGCATCAGCATGGAAGAATGAAAGTGTTTTGATACTTACAATAGCTGTCGGGGTCGAAGCCAGCACGCAATACAGCACCAGAGGTGAAATAAAACTCTCGTCCTCCGTTCCTGGGTAAGGCTTCATCAAATCTCCATCCTGACAGAAGAAACCCTGGATATGCACCTGGAAAGTGTCAGAGCACTCGAAGTAGTAGGCGAGCAGAACGGTCCCAGCCATGATGACGAGCTGAAAATACAGCATGGTCACACAGAGACATTAGTTGCTGTTTAGCAGATGCAGCTGGGGCTCTGAGCTACTTTAGTCCCACGGAATATCCTCCCTCCATCACCCCACCAGCTCTTCCAGTATTGTTCTGTGTGTGTGTGTGTGTCTCTCTCTCTCTCTCTGCTTTGTAACATCTGTTACATAAACCTTTTGGCAAACGACACTAATGAATGTCTCAGATCGAAGTGGGTCTGCAGCACGGCTCACAGAGGGACTGGAGCTTTGGCGGCTACTTTATCAAAGGGCGTATGAGTGTCACCAGCAGCAACATTCCATGCAAACTAGCAGGACAGCAGGCAGGGCCACAGACTTTGGTGGTAACAGCCTAAAATCTGTGCATGCTGGCAGGGGGTGAGTTTGAAAGAACAAGGGTTGTAGGGGGACCAAAAGCCATCGGCTTCCCACTGTGGAATTCAGCCAGTGCAGGGGAGAGTATATACTGTGCCAGTCCAGTGAAGCCCCGTGTGGCTCAGAATGGGGACTCCTCTCCAGGTAAAGCAGAATATCGAGTTTGCCTTTTCATGGAGCTGCCACTTAGAAGGGAAGCTTCAAAAATCTATTCAGGAGGAGCCCAAAAATCTGCCAAGGGGAACAATGGACCCAGCCTGTTTGCCAGCAGCTCTTCCTGTGACCACGTCTCTGCTCCGGGCTTCACACGTTTGGGGCTCTGCTGGCTTTCTACAGCCCCTCCTTCCCTTTCCTAGCACGTAGTAGATGGCTGTGCCTACTTTTGTACTACTAGGATTCCCTTCAGGGTCTGCTCCAGCATAGACCCTCGACTGAGTCTGGTCCTTTAAACATGCTTATTTCACCAGGATCCATCCTGGTCTCATTTTTTGGTTTCATTGTAATGTTTGATAACGTATTGCTGGGGAACAATGCTGGCTTGGCAGCCCCGAGTCTGAAGCCTTCTATTTATCCCCAGAACAGATCGGACAGGGCCACAGTAGTGCAAGCTCCTCCCCAAATTGCTGACGTCCACTTCCCTCAGCCCTGACCAGGAGGGATTATGCTACAGAAGTAAGAGGATAAACCCATTCGCTGCTGCCGGCTTGCAATGGGACCAATTAGCACAACAATCTGAACCTGGCACATCATTTTTAACATTATCATGTTGTCTTGTGAACATATTAAAGGCTCCACAAAAGGCTCTTTTCCTTTGTATGACTGACCACCAATCAGAGCTGTGCAGGAGCAAAAGCTGGCCAAAACCCAGTCCTCTAGGTGCACCATTCAGTACAAAGTAGGCCTGATTCTTCATCACCCTGCACTGTGTATAGCCCATGAACGCACGCTGACCTGGTGGCATTTCACACCCACTTTGTACCACCATAAATGCCTGCACAAGATGCAGAACAACAAAAATTCAGGCCCAGGATCCTGTTTACAATCATCTTTCACAATGGAGGCGCGTTAGTCATAAGTATGTTTCCAGAGGTGTCATGAATGCAAAGCTATTTAGTAGTGAGCTAGGGAAAAAAACAGGGCAGGAATAAAACACAGATCTTAATTTGTCTTTATTTTTTAAAGTCACTGTGCAGTGGATTGAAAATATAGTGTTGCAAGATTATAGGAATAGCCATTTAATATTAATTGCAATTCTTCCACAAAGAGCCATTTACAAGATGTTTGTGCATCTATCTAGCTCGTGGCCTGACCTTGCACACACATTTTGTCAAGGATGCACAAGGGAGCCACAAAAGATGTGGAGAGTTTGATGGAGATGCCAGACCAAAAGCCGGTGCAGCTAGATACAGCAGGTAGGAGGCAGTTGTCAGGACTACAGAAGCTTAAATTCAGATTTGGCATGTGGTCACATCATTGAATTAAATATGAAAATGAATAATTCAATCAGTGCAGAAGGCCTTGTGTTTTTTCTAGTTATATTAAATTCAGTTTCCTTTATACTGTCCCTGCATTTTCAGTTGTCAATATGTTGGAGATGGACTCTGAAACCTAAAAATGACAACAAGCCATTAGGATATATGGGGTGGTTCACACCTCTCGGGATATTTCTTCAAGCTTTCTGCATACTCAGGCAGATATCACTCCATCAGTTCCACTCAGGTCAGATCTTCAGTCTCTTCACATTCATGAAGGCTAAAAACATAAGGTAAATTTGCAAACCCTGGTTCCATTGAACTCAGTCGGTGAAACTATCATATCCCTTAGGCCAATGCCAGGGGGCTGGGACACATGACTGATGAGGAGAGGCTGAGGGAACTGGGGTTATTTAGTCTGCAGAAGAGAAGAGTGAGGGGGGATATGATAGCAGCCTTCATCTACCTGAAGGGGGGTTCCAAAGAGGATGGAGCTCGGCTGTTCTCAGTGGCAGATGACAGAACAAGGAGCAATGGTCTCAAGTTGCAGTGGGGGAGGTTTAGGTTGGGTATTAAGAAAAACTATTTCACTGGGAGGGTGGTGAAGCACTGGAATGGGTTCCCTAGGTAGGTGGTGGAATCTCCCTTCTTAGACGTTTTTAAGGTCCAGCTTGACAAAGCCCTGACTGGGATGATTTAACTGGGGTTGCTCCCGCTTTGAGGAGGGGGTTGGACTAGACTCTTCCAACCCTAATCTTCTATGATGGCTTCTGAAAATCCCACCCATAATTTATTTTTCAGAATGAAAGCTGAGATTCAGGAGCACAACTCTGAAGCCAGGGGTTAATTCTATAGCATACATGAGGCCCACATTATTTTATGCCTTGCAGAAACAACAATTAGCTGCATGAATTAGCTGCACCCACTTTAGCGGATCACAGAATTTTGGTTCCATCTACAGGCAGATCACATTGCCCTAGATTTGAGGGGTGTGTATACCCCAGAATTGGGATCAAGTTAATTGCAACCCTATTATGTGCATTCAGCCACCCTGAAGTAATGAAATAAAACACCACATAGTTAAGGGTTAATTTGGAGACAGGCTTTCAGAAGCAAGGTCATATCTAGCTGGCAGCTTCTGCTAATCAGAATGGGAGGAGGAGACAGGCAAGAAAACAACTGAGACTGAAACCTTTGGTGGGTGGAAAACCTTGAGTCTAGACGCCTCTGATATTAGAAAGTTTATTGAAAGTTAGTAAAAGGATGATCCAGTAGGGGTCATTATGACCTATGTGTTTTGTAGTTACAAAAGTACACTCTATTAGCTGATCTCAGGAGCAATCCTCTGAAACCATCTTGAGAGATGTTTTTCCTGACACCCTTTCTCCCCGGTGGGTGAGCAACTGGCCACTGCGAACCTGCTGCTAATTACTCAGTACTGTTCCAGATGTTAGGTAAATATCTGGGACGTTCTAAATCTACTGTTTATGTCTGTGTATGCTTAAATCTAATAAACTGCAGTGTTAGACAAGAGCATGCTGACTTGCATTTAATCCTTGATCAGACAGAATCGCTGAGTTCCTGTTGATTTATTCTTACCACCACCTACAGCAAAATAGTTTAGTTGCCCCTGTTGGGGGTTCTGAAAACCCCAAGTAACAACATAGGCTCTTTTTTAAAGGCTTACTCAAATGGAATGAAGTTTGGTAATTAATCCTTATAATTAGGGCCCTACCAAATTCATGGTCCATTTGGGTCAATTTCACGGTCATAGGATTTTACAAATCATAAATATCTGAAATCACGAAATTTATATCTGAAATTTCATGGTGTTGTACTTGTAGGGGTCCTGACCCAAAAAGGAGTTGTGTGTGTGGGGGGGGTGTCGCAAGGTTATTGTAGGGGGATTGCAGTACTCTACTGTTACAGTCTTACAGACTGCTACTCTTACTTCTGCGCTGCTGCTGGCGGTGTCAATACCTTCAGAGCTGGGTGGCCAGAGAGCGGCGACTGCTGGCCAGGAGCCCAGCTCTGAAGGCAGAGCCGCCGCCAGCAGCAGCACAGAAGGATGGCATGGCATGGCATGGTATTGCCATCCTTACTTCTGTGCTGCGGCCTTCAGAGCTGGGCCCTTGGTCAGCAGCCACCATTCTCTGGCCACCCACCTCTGAAGGCTGCAGCATGGAAGTAAGCGTGGCAATACTGTGACCCCCCCTAAAATAACCTTGTGACCCCCTTTTGGGTCAGAACCCCCAGTCTGAGACACATTGGTCTCCCCCGTGAAATTTGTATAGTATAGGGTAAAAGCACACAAAAGACCAGATTTCACAGTCCATGGCGTGTTTTTCATGACTGTGAATTTGGTAGGGCCTTACTTATATTTAAATCTCCGAAACATACATATTTTTCACTTTTTCCCTCTTAAGTTGAATGCTAGCGCATTGATATAAAATTTAGAAGTCATTGCTTTCTGCAGTTTTTAGTTTGCTTTCTCTGGGTGAGTGTGACATTCCCCTGGTGTTATCTGGACTGGTGATCTACTAGGTCACTCCAATCCTTGAATCTGGGAGCCAGCCTTACCCTGCTCTCCTCTCCTCTGAGAACTCTCACTCCCGGGCTGTTCATGCACAGCCTCTAGCATGTAAACTGCTCCCACCTACGTGAGGGAGCAACCGAATGACACTAGCCAATAGCTCCGGTCCCAGACACAACCCTAGGAACCTCTGTCTTGCAATGCCCAGTTATTCCTGCTGGATGCTGCAAGCTTGTATGAGTTCATAAATTTAACAAAGAAATTGATATGTACCAGGCTTGTTATCCCAAGGGGAGTCTCTGACACTTCAAACCAAACGCACTGCTTCAGGTAGAACAAACAAACAAACAAATTTATTAATTAAAGAAGATAGATTTTAAGTGATTATTAGTCAAAAAGTCAGATTTGGTCAAATGAAACAAAAGCAAAACACATTCTAAGCTGATCTTAACACTTTCAGTGCCCTTACAAACTTAGATGCTTCTCACCACAGGCAAATGTCTCTCCCTTTTATTATGTTCTTTCTTCGCTCTTGGCTTTGCCTCCACCCCTTCAGGGTCAGGTGAGCATTACCTCATCATAGTCCCAAACTGACCAAGGGAAGGGGGGTGACTCACTCAAGAGTCTGACAGATCCTTTGTTGCTGCCTAGGCCAGTGTCCTTTGTTCCTGTGAGGCTGGGCTGGGTTTGTCCCATACATGCCCTGATGAGATGTGAACTGCCCCTGTACTCCTGGAGAGTTTTGCCTGGGTTTGTTTTAAGCCATGAGGACACATTTTCAGCCTCATAACTACATACATGATATTACAACCCATAACATTAGTATAACAACAATGCTCAGTGCATCATAAGCCTTCCGAAGACACCCGACACGACAAACTTTGCATTGGATACCACACAATCATATTATAAGGATGAACATGGGGGTGCAGGATGTTCGCCCGATGTATAGAGTGTCACAGAGTGACAGTCCTTAAATTTGAGACTTTACAATAGATCACCTTGCAACCAATGAGAGCTAAGCCACCTGCTTTACCAGAAATCCACACAACTGACAAATAAGCAAGTCTCTGCAGAGAACTGAAAACAACGAAGATGCTCATTATTTTGTTGCCCCACCAACACAGCCTTCTAGGAGAGGAACTAAACTCTACATGAATTGGGGACACCCCACCCCGCTGAAAGCTGGCATCGATCACTAGGATAGGAATTGATGAAATGCCAGTGTTATAGTTCAGATCTTCACCTCGGTCTGCAAGGGGAGATCTGCATAGCACAGAAGGCAAGAAGGGAGAAGTGCCAGCTTTTTAGTATTGTTTTTCTCTTCCCACTAGATACCCCATCACCCTAGGAATCAGCATTAAAACTAGGAGACTAGGTAGGAGCGGGGGGATGGGTTGGATTGTCTTCTACTCTATGTGCATCTTAGCACCCAGTCATAATATTTATAGAGTCAATATTAACCCAAGTGCTCCGCCTTCCACCCCAGGCTGGTGGCTGAGCTCTGGCACCACAGGAAGCAAATGAGCCAAGAGAACCTGAGGGGTTGCATGACTCAGGGCCTTGGCATGGGCAGTTCTTGCATCGTCAGCTTGGACAAAATTCTCTTTCAGCGTCGGAGGCTGCACCCTCATTTGTTCTGCAAAAGGAGGGGCAAACTTCCTCTTCCTCTGAGTCTCCTGTGTTCTCCATCTGCTTAGGATGTAAACACCTCAGGGCAAGGACCACGTCTTCTCCTGGGTCTTGTGCAGCACCAGTCACTCTGTTAGCATTTAATGAGTAATACATGATGACTACAAGGGAAGTTTAGGCAGAAAATAAATAAAATAAAAGAAATCATCATCTTCATCATCATCCAACCCAGCATGAGGACAGGAGACTGGAATTAACATTCAGCTTTTGTGAAGGGAGCCATGAGATATTTCATTTTAAATGTACTGTGTCCAGTTTTGGGCCCCACACTACAAGAAGGGTGTGGAAAAATTGGAAAATGTCCAGCGGAGGGCAACAAAAATGATTAGGGGACTGGAACACATGACTTATGAGGAGAGGCTGAGGGAACTGGGATTGTTTAGTCTGCAGAAGAGAAGAATGAGGGGGGATTTGATAGCTGCTTTCAACTACCTAAAAGGGGGTTCCAAAGAGGATGGATCTAGACTGTTCTCAGTGGTAGCAGATGACAGAACAAGGAGTAATGGTCTCAAGTTGCAGTGGGGGAGGTCTAGGTTGGATATTAGGAAAAACTTTTTCACTTGGAGGGTGGTGAAACACTGGAATGTGTTACCTAGGGAGGTGGTGGAATCTCCTTCCTTAGAAGTTTTTAAGGTCATGCTTGACAAAGCCCTGGCTGGGATGATTTAGTTGGGGATTGGTCCTGCTTTGAGCAGGGGGTTGGACTAGATGACCTCCTGAGGTCCCTTCCAACTCTGATATTCTATGATTCTATGAAATAGCCACAAGTGATCAGTATTTCAATTTACTTCTCTTCAGAAAAGCAGCATTCCAGTGGCAAACTACCCCTTTAGCATCATATTCAGGGACTGACCTCTTACAAAGAGCATCTACCGACTAAATTACAACTTCTCTAGCAACTCGGTGGTCTCCTAAGTACTGATCCAGTCTGAAATTGCTTACCTAATGAATCTGATGATCATATGGAGACTCTGCAAAGTGCACTAGAGATTTTGCTATTCCTATTAATTTTATTAAGGTACTCACATACTATGGTGATGGGCAGCACATAAGACCCTAAGATAGGGAGACAGATCCATCTAACTCTAATCATTGTTATTTAAAAAGTGAAACCAAACTTTAAAATACACATGCCAACCTAGCCTCCATATCAAGATGACTAATTAGAGCAGTATAATACACACAATAACAGAACTAGAAGCATGACTCATCCTAATAAATATTTGCCATTTGCTAACTTGACATTCTGTTTGCACGTTGCAAATAAAATGGGTTTTAAACATTCTGTCCATTATTTAATTTACCTTGCTTAGTGTAATAATGTGCTACACTTTTAAAAGAAAGGTATTAATCAATTTCATTCCAAAATGGAATAAAAGGCCACACCAATTACTGCCATGGTTTCCAAATCTAAAATCTGCTCTCCTTTTAAAACGTGCTGCCCCATTCTGGGCTTTACCGAGTAACGCTGCCTAACTTCTATTGACAGCCAACCAGCCTCTTTGAAAATCCCAGCCCCAGGCCTGGTATCCAGAATGGAGATTCCACGCTTGAAAGATAGTACAACCCCTTCACCGTGTCCACAGCCCAGTCCCCAAAAATAACCTGTCTATTTACCAAACCATGGAAATCTGACACTCTCTTTGTCAGTGTCAAAGAGGGGATTATTTCAAAGATAGCTGACAAGGAAGTCAAAGTCACTAAGATAACAGCCTCAAAGACCTGCTACCTAAATTATTGTTGTTTTAGCTAGGATAACACGTAGCGCACCAATTAAGAGCAAGGCCACATAGTGCTAGGCTCAATGCACTATGAGGGAATATCTACCCAGTTTTTGGTAGACAGTTTTTGGACCAATTTAATTGTATCTGTTCTAGAAAGAGATATTTAAATTGGTGCAGCTCTTAGTTGGTTACAGTGACACTCATATAAAGGTGCTTATATTATTTCATGAGCTTTACCTATATAAGTACCTTTGTCCTGCTCTAAAACTTTCCAAACGGATATCATTACATTGGTACAACATGTGCATTTAGACCAACCTTACGAGACAGTCCTGCTCCAAAGGGCTCATAGGTAACCAGACAAGACTAACAATGTGCTGGAGTGTTATCATGCTTATTTTACAGGTGGGGAATAGAGTCACAAAGAGATTAAATGACTTGCCCAAGGCCATATGTAGTTGAGCCAGGTATTAAATCCAGTTCTCCCGAGTTCTGTGTCAGTGTCTTGACCACAAGACCACTTTTATTCTCTTGTGCTTTCTGGGTGTTTAAAGGACATTTGGGGAATAAGAAAAAAAGAACTGGAGCACTGAAAGGTTATTTGGTTTTTTTTCCAATACACCAATCAAGTATCGTTAATAGTAAAGCTTCATGTGAGAAACCAATTCCCATTGAAACTTTCATGATTCCTTGAAATAGACAAATGTTACTGCATCCTCAATATGGACACTGTGGCGGGGCGGGACTCACCGGTGCGGCGCCTCCTGCTGGTTGTCCGGGGAATTAGCTCACCAGCCTCCGGAGTGCCCTCTGCAGGCCGGTGTCCCGCTTGCCACTGGGCCCCAAGTCCCTCCCGGACACCGATGCCCCTTTCACGCCGGGGTGCTGCCCCCTGGCAGTACCCTCACAGATCTGGGTCTCCCCACCCCCGGGGAACCCCACCCTCTATACCCACCTCGCCTCAGTCTTTGGCTACTGCCAGTCACCACCTAGCCCCTGCTCCCTGGAGCGGACTGCTGTATAATTGCCACTCATCATTGGCAAGGAGGGTCTGGACCTGCTGCTTCTGCCTACTCTTGGGCTGCCCTCTGCAACCCCAGTACCCTTTTCCTAGGCCTTCATCAAGGCCTGCACCCTGGGGATTTCTCAGGCCAGAGCTCCCCAGCTCCTCTGGCCTTTCCCCAGCCCTGCTCCACTTTAGGTACCCTGCTCACCTCCCAGCTGTCAGGCCCCTCCCGCTCAACATCTAGAGAGAGACTGTGTCCTCCTGGCCCACTGTCCTCTTATAAAGGCCAGCGGGGCCCTGATTGGGGCGTGGCCGCTGCTTTGGCTGTTTCCCCAATCAGCCGAGGCTTGCGGCTTTCCCTAGCAGCAGCCCACTCTCAGCCTCAGCCCTCTCTCAGGGCTGATTTCAAGTCCTTCAGGGCAGGAGCGGGTGACCACCCCGCTACAGACACCAAAGCCATGCTGAATGTATCTTGCATGATACTAGAGTCTGGGCTATATAATTAAATACTTAATTAATATACTTAATAATTAATTAATTAATATAAAATACTTAATTAAATAAATAATTAAATATAATAAATTAAAGAAAGAAAGCCAGTAAAATAGCCCCTTGTCTTTATTTTAAGGTACATTAGGGACCATCTCTAAGCCCACTGAAGTCAATAGGAGTCTTTCCAGTGATGTCAGTGGGCTTTGGATAAGAAAAGCCCACTGTAAATTTTTACTTCTTGCCCTGTATGTGACTGTGTTGCCCCCATACGTGCTTTCCGCAGTCTAGTGTTTCTCGGATTTAGTAATTAATTGGAAGAATGAAGCCTTTGTAGGCTGCTAGTATTATTCTCACGTTTTTAAAATAAAACGTCTATCTCTGTACAGATGTGTGTGCATGTACACACACACACACACCACTCACACACACGCACTTTATTATAGCTGGCGCATGCAGTAATAGCTCTAGTTAAGGCTGCCCAATTGTGTCCAGGTTTACAGCCACTTTTCCAGTTACATGTATATTAGTTGTACGGACCATGCTGCTATTTTCCAGGCTGGATGTCTGCCCAAGGGTGACGTCTTTAGTACAGTTAGAGCAAGAATTACTCAGCTGCCACTTTTGTGTGCATTGCCCCAAAGCCCTGGAAAGAATTCTGGCTCACTCTGCCAAAATTCCCTTGAGAGGAAGGACGGAAGCTCGCATCATCTCACAACTTGATTACTGCAACATCGTTCCTTGACAACTGCAGTCTTGCTCTGTCAGCCATTCGGAATACAGCTGCAAAGAACATTTTCCTAACCTGTCACTTACACCATGTCACTCCCTCTTTGAATTCCTCCCCTAGCTCCCCCTTCTCCTTGCATTGAACATAAGATGCTTATGATCACTTTAAGGGCTCTTAACAACCAATCTCTACCCTACCTATCATCTTTCATTTGCTACTGAGATATAAATTGATGCTTCCGATGTGCCAATGATACCAGCGTCCATCACCCGCTTGTTAAATTTTCAAATAAGAACCTTCGTGCTTTCTCCCATGCTGCCCCTCATGCTTAGGATCCTACGCAAACATCCACACAACTCATTCATTAACCTCCTTCAGAGCCCTCCTTAAAACTTGTTTGCCATGATGCCTGCAAAAAGCTTGACAAAGGTTAAACTGCTGGCGTGCTGATACCACCGGCTGTCATGCAGCCCAACACCGTCTCATTGTTTTCTTGTACTCTCCCATCTGTCTGTCTCCATCTGTTGTCTCTTGTCTTGTACTTAGATTGTATGCTTTTTGGGGCAGGGACTGTCTTTCTGTTCTGTGTTTGTACAGTGCCTAGTCTTTCTGTTCTGTGTTTGTACAGTGCCTAGTGGTCCATGTCTATGGCTCTTAGGTGGTATGGTAATAAATAATAGCAACAGCCCAGAGTTCAGGAGACCTGGGTTCAAATCAGTGCTCCACCCTGGGCTTCTTGGGCGATTTTGAGGAAGTCACTTAGGGGATGTCTACACTTTGAGATCGGGGGGGGGGAATAGTTCCCAGCTCAGAGACATACCTACACTAGCTCTGATCGAGCTAGCGGGCTAAAGACAGAGGGTAGGTGAGGGTGGGGTGAGCAGCAGGCCTACATACCCCTCCAAGATGCACAGCATTTACTTGGAATGGCCAGCCCTTCCTGCCCTTTCCACCTCCTCTTTATTTTTAGTGTGCGAGCTCAGTCAGAGCTAGCATGGGAATCTCTCTGAGCTGGGAATTACCCCCCATTCCAGCTCGAAGTGTACATGTGCACACACCTCCCTGTGTCTCACTTCTCTGGGATAATAGCATTGTCTTGCTTCACAGGGATGTTTGCGCGG